TTTGGATTCAGCTAATATTCAAAAGAGAACGTGTCATGGTAAGAATAGCAAAGCATATGCAGTGCAGGCAGGCCCTGAGTATCCTTGACTTTACCTAAGTGTCAGTTTGCTCTGATTGGGAAAAGCTCTGATACTTCCAGGTAGATGTTGGTACCTGCTGCTAGGCCCACCATATTTCCATTGGTCCATTACGATGATGGGCTAGCTCACTCTCTGAGAGAAATGTGTTGAAGGAAGAAGCAAGCCAGGTTCTGCACTAATTCTGAACTGTGCCTGATCGGAACGCCTGGTATTTGGGCCTAGGTAAAGATAATGAAATCTGCTTCAGGTTGGTGGATCTCTGGCTGCATACTGCAGCAGCAGGGCTGGTGCTACCACTAGGCGAACTAGGCTACCGCCTAGGGCCCACTGCCACCTTGGGCACAGCCATGGCCAGGACTCATGGACAACTCTGATATGCTTGTTAAAATGAAAATGGTTCAATGCCAGGGTGAATCAAGAGACGCACACAGTCAGAGAGTTCCCTACCCCCTTCACCTCCAGGAAGTCATGGGCTGCCAGGCTGTTTGTTGATTGCTAAGTGCTGAGTGAGGGGGCATGGCTACCTGAGACGATCAGGAGCACGTGGAGAGGTAGAGGACAGTGCAGCTTTGTTGTCTGAACAGCAGACCTGTCACAGGGACCACACAGCCTGGAGTGTGAAGAGCATCTGCTGGGGATTCGATCAGAGCAAGGAAGAGCAGAAGAGGACTGTCACTGAGACATAGCAGAGAGGAGAGAGCCCCCCCAGAGAAGACAGATCTGGAGCGAGTGTGGTGGAGGCCCGAGACATGCTAAGTGGTTACTCTGAGTAGACTGTGGAGGCCAGAGCCAGCCAGCATTCACCTGGAGCAGTCAGTGGAGGTCAGCAGAGCCAGTTTGAGTGGGCAAACTGATCCAGACAGAGCCAGATGACTCAGGTAATTAATTTGCGGACCTGAAACAGTCATCTACCATGTCATATCCATCCTGCACACGGTCATTTCCAACCTGCACACCACTACATTCTGCACTAGACGTCATCTCAGCCTCTACTGAACCACAGAACAGCCTCAGCCTCTATTTAGGTCACCACTACCCCCCAGCTCCACATCACATTTTTTCCAGTTCTTTTTTTTTGGGGGGGGGGGGGGTGGGTAGATGGGGGTAGCTGATCTTGTCTAGGGCAGAAAATAGTATAGCACCAGCCCTGTGCAGCAGATTTCACCATTTTTATAAATTCATTCTTCTCCATGCTCCATTACCTAATGAGTCATTGGCCCAGAACTAGGACGCAAGTCCTGACTCCAATGGCGACCTACTTGTTCCAAGTCAATAACTCTCTAAAATCTTACATCAAGGAGGACAGGTTGTCACCTGCTTCTAGAGAAGAAAATTAAAAAAGGATGGGGGGGGGGGGGGGTTGTAAAACTTTTTTGGTATGCCTACAAAGAGAAAAAAAGTTATATTGGGTTAAAAGTGCTCTCATTTAAAACTCCTCCACCATCAGCACAGCAAACAAGTGTGAATGAACACCTGAAGAGAATTCCTCTCCAAATTAGCCCCCATAGTAATCAGATTTTACCAGTGAGACACATTCCAATTGATTGCTGCAGGCAGCCAGATACATCCATGCAGCCCAATATCCTACAATATTTGGACCAAACACGATTTCTTTTGCGCTCTAGGACCCAGGCGGGTGGCAAATAGATGGAACCAGAACTGGAAAAAAGCGACCACCAGTGCATCAAAGGTTGTGCAGCTCCAAACAAGGCTGGGGAAGCCCGACCAACACTACAAAGCGAAACAAAAACGAGAAGCGCACAAACCTTGCGCATTACCTCAGAGCTCTGATGAAGAAGGTTTGGCCTTCGAAACGCGTCAGCTGAACTGAGTGTCTACCTCCACGATGGGACTCGCGCTGGCTCCTTATCTTTGAAGTCCCTGTGAGGACTTACATGCCTGATTTTATTCGCTGTTTGTGAGTACCTTTCTTATTAATAAATTTTTGTTTACGGAGGTAATGCGCAAGGTTTGTGCGCTTCTCGTTTTTGTTTTGCTTTCTACAATATTTGGAACCACATTTTTTGTACTGTAGGTGAGCCAAGTGGACAGTAATTTCATCAACTATGGCCATGTCAATTCACAACAACGGGTAGCCCTCCTCCAAGAGATACGTGTAGACTGCACAAGAGCTGGAAAACCAGCAGCAGGTACTTTTCTGACCCTTTACTAGATCTATAGATTATTACAGCATAATGGACTATTATACCATAGAGCTCCATTTTGGATGGAGTGGGGAAGAAATAGACCCCTGGCAGTTTTTATTGCTATCTAGGTCACACTTCCTGCCAGGTAACACTAGCTATGAGCTTACAGCCTAACCAAAATCTAAAACGTTCCTCCTTGCAGTGGAGCTGCACCTGCACTGCAAGGGTTAACTGCTTCTTTAGGTCTAAGGGGAGGTAAAAGCACTTTACTTACCCATTCTTCTGATACCCCAGTGGATGGTGCTCCCCCATGCTCTAGTTTTTGACGGTCCCTTGGTGTCATCACAGGTACATTGGTTTTGATGATGTTAGAACCTTAGACCTGTAGAGGATGGGGAAGTAGACACTTCAGGGACAAGTCTAGCTGCATGGAAGAGCAGGGGATCGGGTAAGCACATTTATTCCATGCCCCCAGACCTAAATGAGAAGTCAACCCTTGCAGTGCAGGCACAGCTCAGCGGCATGGAGAAATTATCAAGTTTTCTGGAGTTGGACTTTTAAAGTTCTGTTTACTACTTTACAGAGTCAGCACCCACTGTCAGTGAGAAAGCCATAAAGACCACCTGGAGTGGCACTCTGGAAAATCCAATCTTGCATCTCTAGAAGCTCCATAACAGCAAACAATGGAAGCGAGAAATTCGACTCACAGCTTGTCCTTGGGGTCATAAGGACAAGAAGAGAAGGTGAACCTCCCCAGCCAGGAAACAAACCGCAATAAAACAAACAAAAAAAAAAAGCATCTAACCCTTCCCTACCCAAAAACTAAAGCTGCCCACACAATGAGCAAGTTTTGGATAATTTCTGATTAACCAGACAAAAATTTGCTTTGTGGGTGGCTCTGTTGGCCCCTCCAGCCTGACACCATTCGAAGGATGTCAGGCTGAACAAAATACATTAAAAAATACAAAACACATAAAGGAAAGTATTACAGCATGGCTTTTCCTTTCTGTAGTAAAAGTACTGCAAGTTTACGATCTTGGATTAGTTTTACCTTAAAAACTGTGAGGGGTATCCTCAGCAGCTGTACCCAACACACCCTGTATATCAATGCAATTTAAAAAGAAAAAAAAAAAAAAAAAAAAGGGGGAGGGGGAACCATTAAAATAGATAGCTTATAGCTGCCAAAATCAAGTGTCGTGCATGGAGGCCTGAACGTCAGAGTGTATGCACCTATGGCTTTGGGTGGAAAAACAACAGCGAAAGAGATTCTCCATTACATGTATACAACCCTCAACTCCAAAAAAGGATGTTTCTTTAAAAAAAAGAAACGTTCTCAACACAATGTGTGGCTTTCTTTTAAACAGCGTCAGGAAATCCACCCAAACAAAAGCAATGGAAATGTCCATAATACCGAAAAGGGACAAGATAGACTGGGATAAATGTTGAACCTTCAGAGGAGGCAGAAGGTCCAAAACCATATATACCCAAAAAGCCCAATATGAAAAGCAAAGCAATTTTGGAGTGATTGTAGGCTGAGAGATCCTGATTTATCTTGACCCTTAAGCTCTGGGGCACCTAAGGACCTGAGGTTGTAGATCAGGGTAGTCATTGAGCACTGGGCATGTGAAGAGCTGTTGAGTGTAGAGCAGGGTATTCCTTGGGCTCTTGGCCACCCAAGGAGCTTAGGGCTGTAGAACAGGATAACATGTAAGCTCTGGGCCACCAAAGGAGCTGAGGGTTGTAGATCATAGTAATCCTTGAGCTCTAGGCCATCTAAGAAGCTGAGGGTTGTAGATCATAGTAATCCTTGAGCTCTAGGCCACCTAAGGAGCTGAGGGTTGTAGATCATAATAACCCTTGCGCTCTGGACCATGTGGGGAGCCGATGATCCTAGAAAAGGGTATTCCCTTTGCTGTAGGTTACCTAAGGAGCTGGGGGGTGTAAATCATAGTAATCTTAGCACTCTGGACCATGTGGGGAGCTGATGATCGTAGAAGAGTGTATTCCCTGAGCTCTAGGTTACCTAAGGAGCTGAGGGTTGTAAATCGTAGTAATCCTTGCGCTCGGGACCATGTGGGGAGCTGATGATCGTAGAAGAGGGTATTCCCTGAGCTATAGGTTACCTAGGGAGCAGAGGGTTGTAGATAAGAATAATTCTTGACCTTCAGGCCAACTAAGGAGCTGAGGGTTGCAGATCATAGGTGGCCTAGAGATCAAGCATTACTAAGGAGCTGAAGGTTGTAGATCATAGTAATCCTTGAGCTCTAGGCCACCTAAGGAGCTGAAGGTTGTAAATCATAGTAATCCTTGCGCTCTGGACCATGTGGGGAGCTGATGATCGTAGAAAAAAGGGTATTCCCTGAGCTCTAGGTTACCTAAGGAGCTGAGGGTTGTAGATCGGAAAAAATCTTGACCTTCAGGCCACCTAAAGAGATGAGGGTTGTAGAGTAGGCTAACCCTTAAGCTCTGGACCATCCCAGGTGATGAGGGTTGTGGAACAGGGTAACTATTGAGCTTCAGGGCATCTAAGCAGCTGAGGGTTGTAGAACAGAGTGAAGCCCTCTGTGTAACAGCATAGTGTACCATAGTTTATCAGAACAGAAAGTAACCGAATGATGAGCTGAGAGATCCATGGAACAGCAATATTTCAGATAGACGTACATAAAATGGATTGTTCCTCTGTAATTGCTGCCCTCTGGTCTTCACACCATTGATCGGATCTGTTTCCAGTGTTGCACTCTATAAGCAGGGGAAGGCACCTTTCCTCGTGGACTATAAAAACTCAAACTCATCTGAACTTGGCCTCTTAGTCATCGCACTCCTTTTGTGGCGAGCCAAGGAAAAAGAGGAGAGCGGCAGTCCCTCGGGGGGATGGAATTCCTGAGCCTGGCCATCAGAGATACTGAACACGGGGTACTTCTCTTCTGCTGATGGAGAACTTTAATACCTAAATGGGCAAAGACAATAAAATATGAAAATGTGAGAGAAAGGAGTTTTCCACCTAGTGTGCATTTTTACTTATATCTATGGGTTCGTTGAAGGTCTTCATTTGAGCTTTTCCTACCAATCATGATCTTCAATAAGTTTCTTAAAGCCATGTGACTGTTTACCAGCTGTCATCAATATGCAAAGGATAACCATAATAGCTGAATCCAACTGCTAAGCAAGAACTGAACCATTTATCCTTTTAATGGATACAACTTGGAGACAAATAGGACCAATACTGACATCAGTGAAATATGTTCCAGTGGCAGGTCATGGATGAAAAACTGTATTTATGGGCAGATAAAGTCAAATTGAGCTAACAATCAAACAACAATGGATAAGGATTGTCACTCCCATACTGCAGTGCTCAGGCCTGGTGGGCAATCATTAGGCGGAGATCTGTCATGTGAGCAAAGCGTGACTCTGGCTAGGCTTGGCAACCAGCCAGCATGGCTTTTTTTGGTTGGATTGCTAGAGAGGTAAAGTATCAGTGGATTGGGGGAAGTGGTATAACAAAGCCTGCAGAAACCCAACATTTCTGTAATTAACAAACATTTGACTGCGCTATGCAAGTTTAAATGGCCATTTGTAGTCCCAATCTGAAACCCATTTGACAGGTGACAACACAGGAGCACAATTAAGAGACAAGGACAAAATGTTGTCACTCTAACAGAATGTACCTGATCAACAAAAGGTACAGCTGTCCTTCAAAAGCAGAACTTAAAGAGACCCTGTCATTACTTTTCACTTTAAAGCCTCTTTCAATACAGAATATACAGACATATAATGCAGGCCATAGACGGGTCGTTTATCGACCAAATTTTCGTCCGCACGAAAAATCGGCCGATATTCACGCCGTTAGTGGGGAATTACCGTCGGCCATTTTTTGTGGATCTTGTTTACTTTTATCGGTCATGGTGGAAAATCGTTTTTTGTGGACATTGGTGGCAGCATCGGCCAATAAACGACCCGCTTATGGCTTGCCTAAGTCTGCCCTCTTTTGTTTTCTTATCTGGTCCCCTCTCTTGGTTACTAGTGCTCCAAGTTTAACAGGAATCTGACAATTCTGAGTGGATCCTACCATCTGCTAGTCTGGCCACTAGGTCATCAGGATCTTGGGGCAATTGTAATTGACTTTGAGAAAATTTGCATGAAGTATAGTTCTGATTTAAATACCAAGTTGTGAATCAAGAGAGGTGGAGGAACATACTGGTCCAGCCCTATTGAAGAGCGAGAATCCCCTGGTCCTGCCAAGTCATAGAGAGAATCCCCTGGTCCTGCCGAGTCATAGAGAGAATCCCCTGGTCCTGCCAAGTAATAGAGAGAATCTCCTGGTCCTGCCAAGTCATAGAGAGAATGTCCTGGTCCTGCCAAGTCATAGAGAGAATCCCCTGGTCCTGCCAAGTCATAGAGAGAATCCCCTGGTCCTGTCAAGTCATAGAGAGAATCCCCTGGTCCTGCCAAGTCATAGAGAGAATCCCTTGGTCCTGCCAAGTCATAGAGAATCCCCTAGTCTTGCCGTCATAGAGAGAATCCCCTGGTCCTGCCAAGTCATAGAGAGAATCCCCTGGTCCTGCCAAGTCATAGAGAGAATCCCCTGGTCCTGCCATCATAGAGAGAATCCCCTGGTCCTGCCAAGTAATAGCGAGAATCCTCTGGTCTGCCAAGTAATAGAGAGAATCTCCTGGTCCTGCCAAGTAATAGAGAGAATCCCCTGGTCCTGCCAAGTCATAGAGAGAATCCCCTGGTCCTGCCAAGTCATAGAGAGAATCCCCTGGTCCTGCCATCATAGAGAGAATCCCCTGGTCCTGCCAAGTGATAGAGAGAATCTCCTGGTCCTGCCAAGTCATAGAGAGAATCCCCTGGTCCTGCCAAGTAATAGAGAGAATCCCCTGGTCCTACCAAGTCATAGAGAGAATCCCCTGGTCCTGCCAAGTCATAGAGAGAATCCCCTGGTCCTGCCAAGTCATAGAGAGAATCCCCTGGTCCTGCCAAGTAATAGAGAGAATCACCTGGTCCTGCCAAGTCATAGAGAGAATCCCCTGGTCTGGCTATATGGAAGAGAGAATCCCCTGGCCCTGCCAAGTCATAGAGAGAATCCCCTGGTCCTGCCAAGTCATAGAGAGAATCCCCTGGTCCTGCCAAATCATAGAGAGAATCCCCTGGTCTGGCTATATGGAAGAGAGAATCCCCTGGTCCTGCCAAGTCATAGAGAGAATCCCCTGGTCCTGCCAAGTCATAGAGAGAATCCCCTGGTCCGGCTATATGGAAGAGAGAATCCCCTGGTCCGGCTATATGGAAGAGAGAATCCCCTGGTCCTGCCAAGTCATAGAGAGAATCCCCTGGTCCTGCCAAGTCATAGAGAGAATCCCCTGGTCCTGCCAAGTCATAGAGAGAATCCCCTGGTCCTGCCAAGTCATAGAGAGAATCCCCTGGTCCTGCCAAGTCATAGAGAGAAATCCCCTTGTCCTGCCAAGTCATAGAGAGAATCCCCTGGTCTGGCTATATGGAAGAGAGAATCCCCTGGTCCTGCCAAGTCATAGAGAGAATCCCCTGGTCCTGCCAAATCATAGAGAGAATCCCCTGGTCTGGCTATATGGAAGAGAGAATCCCCTGGTCCTGCCAAGTCATAGAGAGAATCCCCTGGTCCTGCCAAGTCATAGAGAGAATCCCCTGGTCCTGCCAGGTCATAGAGAGAATCCCCTGGTCTGGCTATATGGAAGAGAGAATCCCCTGGTCCTGCCAAGTCATAGAGAGAATCCCCTGGTCCTGCCAAGTCATAGAGAGAATCCCCTGGTCCTGCCAAGTCAGAGAGAATCCCCTGGTCCTGCCAAATCATAGAGAGAATCCCCTGGTCCTGCCAAGTCATAGAGAGAATCCCCTGGTCCTGCCAAATCATAGAGAGAATCCCCTGGTCCTGCCAAGTAATAGAGAGAATCCCCTGGTCCTGCCAAGTCATAGAGAGAATCCCCTGGTCCTGCCAAGTCAGAGAGAGAATCCCCTGGTCCTGCCAAGTCATAGAGAGAATCCCCTGGTCCTGCCAAATCATAGAGAGAATCCCCTGGTCCTGCCAAGTAATAGAGAGAATCCCCTGGCCCTGCCAAGTAATAGAGAGAATCCCCTGGTACAACCATATAGAATACAGTGAATTCACTGGTACGGCTGTATGGAATAGAGAGGATCCCCTGGTCCAACCCTATGGAATACACCTGTTGCTGGATTATTGAGGAGGGAGAGAAGAAGTCAGCTTTCAGCTGCTGCAGAGAGAGCCATACAGGGGATCAATTCCAGTAATTGCCCCTCCGCTGTTCCGACCAACCTCCCTGCGTATATCTGATTCACCCAGCTACCTGGGCCCCCTACAGGAGGACTGGTGATACCTCCTTATCCACAACCCTGGGTACGGCTGTATGGAATAGAAAGAATCCCCTTTTATGGCCCTATGAAACACAGAGAATTGCCTGGTCCAGTCTATGTAATAGAGATAATCCCCTTGAGGGGCCCTAAAGAATAGAGAGAATCCCCCTGTGTGGCCCTATGGAACAGAGAGAATCCCCCGTGTGGCCCTATGGAATAGAGAGAATCCCCCTGTGGGGCCCTAAAGAATAGAGAGAATCCCCCTGTGTGGCCCTATGGAATAGAGAGAATCCCCCTGTGGGGCCCTAAAGAAGAGAGAGAATCCCCCTGTGGGGCCCTAAAGAATAGAGAGAATCCCCCTGTGGGGCCCTAAAGAATAGAGAGAATCCCCTTGTGGGGCCCTAAAGAATAGAGAGAATCCTCCTGTGTGGCCCTATGGAATAGAGAGAATCCCCCTGTGTGGCCCTATGGAATATAGAGAATCCCCTTGTATGGCCCTATGGAATAAAGAGAATTCCCTGGTCCAGCTCCTATAGAATAGAGATTTCCCTGGTCCAGCCCCTATGGAACATAGAGAATTGCCTGGTCTGGTCTATGCAATTAAGTCAGTCCCTTTGTAGGGCTCTATGGAATAGAGAGAATCCCCTTCTAAGCTCCTATGGAATAGAGAGAATCCCCTTCTAAGCTCCTATGGAATAGAGAGAATCCCCTTCTAAGCTCCTATGGAATAGAGAGAATCCCCTTCTAAGCTCCTATGGAATAGAGAGAAATCCCCCCTTCTAAGCTCCTATGGAATAGAGAGAATCCCCTTCTAAGCTCCTATGGAATAGAGAGAATCCCCTTCTAAGGTCCTATGGGATAGAGAGAATCCCCTTCTAAGGTCCTATGGGATAGAGAGAATCCCCTTCTAAGGTCCTATGGGATAGAGAGAATCCCCTTCTAAGGTCCTATGGGATAGAGAGAATCCCCTTCTAAGGTCCTATGGGATAGAAAGAATCCCCTTCTAAGCTCCTATGGGATAGAGAGAATCTCCTTCTAAGCTCCTATGGGATAGAGAGAATCTCCTACTAAAGGTCCTATGGGATAGAAAGAATCCCCTTCTAAGCTCCTATGGGATAGAGAGAATCCACTTCTAAGGTCCTATGGGATAGAGAGAATCCCCTTCTAAGGTCCTATGGGACAGAGAGAATCCCCTTCTAAGGTGCTATGGGACAGAGAGAATCCCCTTCTAAGGTGCTATGGGACAGAGAGAATCCCCTTCTAAGCTCCTATGGGACAGAGAGAATCCCCTTCTAAGCTCCTATGGGATAGAGAGAATCTCTCCTACTAAAGGTCCTATGGGATAGAGAGAATCCCCTTCTAAGGTCCTATGGGACAGAGAGAATCCCCTTCTAAGGTCCTATGGGATAGAGAGAATCCCCTTCTAAGGTCCTATGGGATAGAGAGAATCCCCTTCTAAGGTCCTATGGGATAGAGAGAATCCCCTTCTGAGGTCCTATGGGATAGAGAGAATCCCTTACTAAGGTCCTATCGAATAGAGAGAATCCCCTTCTAAGGTCTTATCAGATAGAGAGAATCCCTTGATCCAAGGAATGTAGTACAGAGAATCTCCTTGGTTGGCTGTATGGAGGAGAGAGATTTCCCTGGTCCGGCCCTGTGGAACAGCTGGAGAAGACCAGCCGAATGAGTGCGGTGCACCCCGGGACCCCAAACACCCTCCATGTACAGTTTCATTATGAGAAGCCTTGTTCTGTACCTTTAACAGATGGTCACACAAAGCTCCGAAGTCCGCTCGATTCCTAGCATAGAAAGCAAATGTACAGCTGGGATCCATCTTCACGATGGACATCTTCCGGGGGGAGTTACAGTGGAAACTCTGTAGAGTTAATTCACAGATATTAAAAAAAAAAAAAAAACACAAAAAAAAATAAACAAACAAAAAAAACCCCAGAATCCTCCCCTCCTCTCCCGATTTCTGCAGAACACAACTCACTCACTTCTAAGGGGAAGTCCTCTTTACTGGTATCCATGTAGTTCTGGCTGTAATGAGGATCCAAGTATAATAAATGGTTATCTAAAAGATAAACACACAGTCAAATCCTGCACATAATTAACCCGCTATAAAATGAACACAATGTCGCTACGAACCTTGGTAGCCAATGAAATACAGCGAATGTTTTGGTTTTCCACCAATAATGCCCAGACAGGACGGCATCTGCAGGAACTCCTGAAAGAAGAACATTCATGGTGCAGGTGTTGTGTGCCGGATAACATGGACAATAACCACATTTTATTGGGGTTTACAAAATCGTCTCTTATATTTTTTGTTTTGTAATTGTACCTTCATCCCATCAACTGCAGAAGTTGTATACAAGGAAACTGGACTTTCACTGCATGCTCCCAGCACAATGACTGAGCGGTCATAGACTGCTCCCGGCCTCTAGTAAAAAAAAGGGAGCTGGTGGGATCAGCTCCCGATCACGTGCTCATTGTGACAGCCAATCATAGTCACAGGATTAGGCAGACTTTCCCGCCCAATGGGTGTAATAGCCCAGTTAAAGAGACACTACTGCTGGGTGGTAAGGGGTGAACGCATCATCACCGGCCCCTAGACACGGATCCCATTACCTTAATACACTGCTTATATACGGGGTTAAAATGCTCTCCGCCAAGACGAACGGGTACAAGGATGATAACGGCCTTCCCTCCATGGTTCTTCTCAGAGAGGGAATCCCCAGGATCCATCAGCCGCTCCACATCCGCCCTGTACACTGCACAACAAGAAGATACCCATACAGATCACAGAACGGGGGGCCAGTCCTGTAGATTACGTGTCATTTGTGCAGATATTTGTATACACTGACAATACAGTTTTAAAAAATATATATTCTTGTTTCAAGAATCTTGCAGGTCTCTAATACTTTGGGTAATGTTGATGGGGGGGCATGACAGGGGTTGCGCAGGCGCGGTTCCAGAAACATGCTTAGATTTTAATGGATGGGTGAACGCACAATACAACTCATTCCTAGTTGTTCTATCTCTATGCAGGCTACCCCCTCCCCCCTTTCGGTCTGTCCTAATTGTTGCTGTCAGACTCATCCACTTTTCCAACCAGTCAGTGTCTTCCACCCCTCTCTGCCAATCCCTCCACTGGCCTCCATTCAGTGTCCTCCACCCCTCTCTGCCAATCCCTCCACTGGCTTCTATTCAGTGTCCTCCACCCCTCTCTGCCAATCCCTCCACTGGCCTCCATTCAGTGTCCTCCACCCCTCTCTGCCAATCCCTCCACTGGCTTCTATTCAGTGTCCTCCACCCCTCTCTGCCAATCCCTCCACTGGCTTCCATTCAGTGTCCTCCACCCCCCTCTCTGCCAATCCCTCCACTGGCTTCCATTCAGTGTCTTCCACCCCTCAATGCAATCCCTCCACTGGCCTCCATTCAGTGTCCTCCACCCCTCTCTGCCAATCCCTCCACTGGCTTCTGATCAGTGTCCTCCACCCCCCTCTCTGCCAATCCCTCCACTGGCTTCTGATCAGTGTCCTCCACCCCCCTCTCTGCCAATCCCCCCACTGGCTTCTGATCAGTGTCCTCCTACCTTCTCTGCTAATTCCTCCACTGGCTTCCACTCAGTGTCCTCCACTTCTCTCTGCCAATCCCTCCACTGGCTTCTGATCAGTGTCCTCCACCCCCCCTCTCTGTCAATCCCTCCATCCTTCTCTGCCAATCCATTCACTGGCTTCTGATCAGTGTCCTTCTACCTTCTCTGCTAATCCCTCCACTGGCTTCCATTCAGTGTCCTCCACCCCTCTCTGCCAATCCCTCCACTGGTTTATGATCAGTATCCTCCACCCCTCTCTGCCAATCTCTCCCTGGCTTCTGATCAATGCCCCCCACCCTTCTCTGCCAATCTCTCCATTGGCCTCCACTACGTGTCCTCCAACCCGCTTTGCCAATCCCTCCACTGACTTCCAATCACCGAACAAATACAGTTCAAACTTTCAAAAACCCACAAGGCCAACCAACACTCTGCCCTTGGATACATTACCAACCTTATTCAAAATAGAATCCAAACCATCCTCTCTGCTCCTCCCAAGAACTCCTGCGCTCTAGCTCCCTTGTCAAACTCCCATGCTCACCTCAAGAACCTATCCAGAGTCTCTCCCATCTTCTGGAACTCCCTACCCCAACCTGTCCATCTATATCCTACTCTGTCTGCCTGAACTCATCTTATTAGGGATGCTTCTCCCACCTCCACCTAACAACTGGAATTTTACTTTCTTGAACAACTCCCCCACCCCCCCAAAAAAAAAAAGTTATCACCTTTTGTATCACTTGCCCTTTCCTTATAGATCGTAATCTCTCAATACAATTGTATTGTACTGTCTCCGCTTATTTTTTTTAAAGCACCATATAAATCTTATATAATAATAACAACAGTGCAGAGAGCTGGTCTTACCTGTACAGTCCTGGGAAACATACACAGACAGTTCAGGGACTTGTGATGTGTTCTCCAGTGCTTTCCTGACAGAGATACAGAGACACACAAATGAAGAAAGCAAAGTTCACCAAAACAAAATCACATTCTGCCTGGACTGCGACATCAAGACCAGCCAACATCAAGGACAGCCAACATCAAGGACAGCCAACATCAAGGACAGCCAACATCAAGGACAGCCAACATCAAGGACAGCCAACATCAAGGACAGCCAACATGAAGACCAGCTGTACTACATGGAGAACCCTAAGGAGTTGCTAGAGGTAACTTGATTTATTGCAACTGGGGGATATTTTCTGATACTGATGCAACAGGTACTTTTTTTTTTTTTCTATTAATATACCAGAAATGAAAATGGGACCCTTCTCAGAGATCACCAATCAAATATAAGGGCCCTTCTCCAATGGATGGAGGACCTTCTTGACTGACCACCAACAGATGGGGGTTTGTCTCCATGGACTACCAGAAAAAAAAAAAAAAAAAAAAAGAGAGAGAGAAAGAAAACAAAAAAAAAAAAAAACCACCAAGAGGGGCCTTTTCCTGCTGACCACCAGTGCAAAGGGGGGCCCTTTCCTGCTGACCGCCAGTGTAAACGGGGGCCCTTTTCTGCGGGCCACCAGTGCAAATGGGAGCCCTTTCCTGCTGGCTGCCAACGCAAAGAGGGGCTCTTTCCTGCTGACCACCAACGCAAAGAGGGGCTCTTTCCTGCTGACCACCAACGCAAAGAGGGGCTCTTTCCTGCTGACCACCAACGCAAAGAGGGGCCATTTCCTGCTGACCACCAACGCAAAGAGGGGCCATTTCCTGCTGACCGCCAACGCAAAGAGGGGCCATTTCCTGCTGGCCGCCAACGCAAAGAGGGGCTCTTTCCTGCTGACCACCAACGCAAAGAGGGGCCATTGCCTGCTGACCAGCAACGCAAAGAGGGGCCCTTTTCTGCTGACCACCAACGCAAAGAGGGGCCATTTCCTGCTGACCACCAATGCAAAGAGGGGCCCTTTTCTGCTGACTACCAACGCAAAGAGGGGACTTTTTCTGCTGACCGCCAATACAAAGAGGGGCCCTTTTTTTTTTTTTTTTTTAATATACCACAAATGGAAAAAAAATGGGACCCTTCTCAGAGATCACCAATCAAATATAGGAGCTCTTTTCCAATGGATGGAGGACCCATCTCCAAGGACTACCAGAAAAAAAAAAAAAGATGAAAGAAAAAGACCCACCAAAAGGAGCCCTTTCCTGCTGACCGCCAGTGCAAAGAGGGGCCCTTTCCTGCTAACCGCCAGTGCAAAGAGGGGCCCTTTCCTGCTAACCGCCAGTGCAAAGAGGGGCCCTTCCTGCTAACCGCCAGTGCAAAGAGGGGCCCTTTCCTGCTAACCGCCAGTGCAAAGAGGGGCCCTTTCCTGCTGACCGCCAGTGCAAAGAGGGGCCCTTTCCTGCTGACCGCCAGTGCAAAGAGGGGCCCTTTCCTGCTGACCGCCAATGCAAGGGGGCCCTTTCCTGCTGACCACCAATGCAAAGAGGGGCCCTTTCCTGCTGACCGCCAATGCAAGGGGGCCCTTTCCTGCTGACCACCAATGCAAGGGGGCCCTTTCCTGCTGACCACCAATGCAAGGGGGCTCTGTTCTGCTGATCACCAATGCATTAAGTTCCTTCTCTACTGCTCACCTATGCATGGGGGCCCTTCTGCAACTGACAACCAATGTGAGGGGATGGTCACTGTCACCTGACAAATGGGGCTCCTAAAATGTTGAATATCGTATCTACTGGTTGCTTTACAACAAAGTCAGACTAAGGCACATTCTGGCATGCTGCTGATTTGTGATGTTCTGCAGAGCGGAGGGTGCCATCTAATGACTACAGCAAACTCATTGCAGAAAGGAGATTGTTAGTACGGTTTGGTGCGCAAGGTTTCATTTTCCTGGCCTATAATTTGATCTCTTATTATAGATGTCTATTCTCGGTATGAACACACACCCAGCCGAACGAGTCAGAAAAAGGGACACACCCCATTTCTCTGCTGGCCCTTAACCTGGAAAGGTTTTAGAATAGACAGAATGGGCAAAAGGAGAGCAGTCAATGCTGTACCCAGATATTATAGTAGCATCTCGTATTAAAATGATTTATAAAAGAAGTGTTGTATCAAAGTAATAAAAAAAAACCTATATAAAGAAATTGGTTAATAAACATGTAAACATCTGAACGGATATCTGACCAAAAACCAGTATAAGTTTCAATAAAAAAAAAAACACTTGAGTACCTTTTAATCTCACCTCAAAATGTGAGCCACAATACTGGGGCCATACCAATCACCAGCCTTCTTCCCGAAGCTCTCATCCCCTAACTTCACCATGTGGTGCAGACCAAAGGGGGCATCGGGGTGGTCTGACAGCCATTGCAGGATGTCCCTGTGGATCTGCTCCTGGTGGGGGTGCTGTAAAAGGCGTCTGTGAGGAAGGGATTCCCAGGGGGCGCACATACGACTCTGATTGGAGGCCGATGATGCCGGGGAGAACAGACTCATGTTGGATGGAGAGGATGATCGGATGGGATCCATTTCTACAAAGTGCGTGTTTAAGGCTTCTGGCCAGTACCAATCTGAAAAACAAAATGGAGACAAGCAAAAATGTTATATTTGTAGACAGTCCAATATTACTGCTATCCAATAGTAAAGGCCAGTATTCCTTTACAGAATTCACCATTCAAATGTGTGACATCAGCAAAACTTCCAATTTAGAAGAGGTTGGCTGTGTTGGCCAGCATTTTAAATAGAGACTAGACCAGAGGAAGGGGCACAGATAGCAAGGCCAGGTTCATGGAAGGAGCCTTCACAGATGTAACAAAGACTAGATTAGCTGCTCTGAAGTTTCAACAAGGCCGGAGAAGAGGGCATGTCCAAACTTGGCTTTGCTGAAAAAATGTGCCTGACAAAGCAGGGTTGGCAGAAGAAGACATTCCCTTTACAAAGCCTTTGAGATATTGGTCCACCAGGTCTTGGAAGGAAACCATGCTCTGGAACAATTGTGGCTTTATACAGAATTGGAGACACCAATTTTGTGAGAGGACCATTTCTGGGCAACAGACAGAAGGTTAGACAAGGTCACTCACCTAGTCTAAAAAGGTTCAGAGAGGAGACCCAAGAGCAGTGGTATTGAATTAAAACTCGTGGAGGTCCGGTCAGTATAATGTTCTTCCAGCAGGGGTCCAAATCTCCTTTTACATCACAGCCCCTCCTCCTTTTCATCCCAGTACCCCGTCACATCACAACCACCCCTTCATATGAGTATTCTCAGTCCCCTCCTTCTACATCAATCTCCCCCCTTTACATCAGTGTCCACAGTCCCCCATTTACATAACAGCCCCCCTTTTACATCAGTGTCCACAGTCCTCCTTTTAAATCATAGCCCCCCTGTACATCAGCGTACTCAGTCCCCCATTTACATAACAGTCCCCCTTTACATCAGTGTCCTCGGTCCTCCTTCTACATCACAGCCCCCCCCCCTTTGCATCAGTGTCCTCGGTCCCCCTCTTTATATCACAGCACCCCCAACCCTTTACATCAGTGTCCTCAGTCCCCTATTTACATCACAGCCCCCCCTTTACATTAGTATCCTCGGTCCCTCCTTTTACATCACAGCCCCCCCCCCCTCTTTACATCAGTGTCCTCAGTCCCCCTTTTACATTACAGCCCCCCCTGTACATCAGTGTGCTCAGTCTCTCTTTTACATCACAGCCCCCCTCTTTACATCAGTGTCCTCAGTCCCCCATTTACATCACAGCCCCCCCTTTACATTGGTGTCCTCAGTCCCCGCTTTTACATAACAGCCCCCTTTACATCAATGTCCCCAGTAACCCCCCCTTTCCCAATTCACATTACAACCCCCCTTACATCACTGTCTCCTTTAAAGTAACAGCCTCCCCCTTACCTTACATTACAATCCCCTACACATCACAGCCCCCCCTTACACCATAGCCCTCCCCCCCTTACATCACAGTCCCCTACACATCATAGCCTCCCCCCCTACATCACAGTCCCTTACACATCTCAGCTCACACCCCCCTCCCCCTCCCCCACCCGCACATCCCCTTCACTGCCCTACCATGGAGGAGTGGGGGTTGTGAAGGAAGCGGTACAGACCTCTATATTGGGGTGGGACTGACCTCTGTTGAGAAGGTGCACCAGGAGAGCCTGAGCCAGTAACATCTGGGCGCTCCTGATCATACAGCCCCAACCACAATCTGTGGTCAGCTGTGTCCCCTCCAGCGCAGGGAAATCTCGTCTGTACGTCAGCCAAATCCGGGACACAAAGTCCTTCTGGAAATTCTCTATGTCATCTGTGAACACAAGAGAAGGAAATGTCATGATGTACTCAGTTAGTAGGACAGTGACACACATGTATGTACAAGAGGGCTGCCAGGATGGTGGGCCAACAATGCAGCCAATAGACACGAGATCGTTGGGTGATCCAGACAAACATTCACGCTCCTTCCATAGTAGTGTCCATGCTTATGCTCTTAGCAGATCCCCCAACTCCAACCTTATTTAGTGGAAATTAATTTTGTTTTTCTACAAATTATAGTCAGGGGGTGCCTGTAGAGGTCACACCGTGTGTTCATAGATGCCTGTGGTAGCCCCCTGACATACAACACATTGATGTCATTGTGCATGATGATGTCAGCAAGGGGTGGTGGCACTGCCACCTGAACAGGAGAGACTGGTGGGGAGAAAGCCCATGGGAGTGAAGAACAAGGTAAGGGATTCCGTCTATTACATGCTCCCCAGACCAAATGTGGTTTAGGCTTTTATGTGGGAGGGGGGCTGCCGAAGCTCTTGTGCAGTTCTAAAGTGTTACTAAACCCAGGGCCATGCATTCGCCATGTCTGGTTTCCCACCAAACCCAGGGTCCTGCATTCGCCACATCTGGTCTCCCACTAAACCCAGGGCCATGCATTCACCACCACATCTGGTCTTCCACCAAACCCAGGGCCCTGCGTTCGCCAGCTCTAGTCTCACACCAAACCCAGGGCCCTGCGTTCGCCCGGTCTGGGCTCCCAGCAAACCCAGGGCCCTGCATTCTCCCGGTCTGGGCTCCCAGCAAACCCAGGGCCCTGCATTCGCCCGGTCTGGGCTCCCAGCAAACCCAGGGCCCTGCATTCGCCCGGTCTGGGCTCCCACCAAACCCAGGGCCCTGCATTCGCCCGGTCTGGGCTCCCACCAAACCCAGGGCCCTGCATTCGCCCGGTCTGGGCTCCCACCAAACCCAGGGCCCTGCATTCGCCCGGTCTGGGCTCCCACCAAACCCAGGGCCCTGCATTCGCCCGGTCTGGGCTCCCACCAAACCCAGGGCCCTGCATTCGCCCGGTCTGGGCTCCCACCAAACCCAGGGCCCTGCATTTGCCCGGTCTGGGCTCCCACCAAACCCAGGGCCCTGCATTCGCCCGGTCTGGGCTCCCACCAAACCCAGGGCCCTGCATTCACCAGGTCTGGTCTCCCACCAAACCCAGGACCCTGCAATCCCCAGGTCTGGTCTCCCACCAAACCCAGGGCCCTGCATTCACCAGGTCTGGTCTCCCACCAAACCCAGGACCCTGCAATCCCCAGGTCTGGTCTCCCACTAAACCCAGGACCCTGCATTCACCAGGTCTGGTCTCCCACTAAACCCAGGACCCTGCATTCACTATATCCCCTCCCCCACAGTACACACAAACATAGAAATGCAATTATTTTTTAAATATAAACTGCTAAATTCCTTTACTCATCAGCACTATAAAACAAACAGTCTTGTGACTTCTATCAGTTTCCAGCAGAGCACTGGTTAAAGCTTGTAGGGGGAGTTTTCATTCTACTCTAGCAGGATGCAGGACCCCTAATCTCTGTCTGGACAGTGCTGATTGGCCCTGTGCTGATCACATGCACCTCTCTAGCAGTACACACCAAACTGAGCATGTGCAGACTGTCTCCACACAATATGTCTTATCAGGAGATAGGAGGGGGACACTGGAAGAAGGGGAGGATCAGAGAAGACAGGATCAAACAGCATATTTACACAATGCAGAGGATTAACTCCTTAGGTTCCACAGTGAGTATAACCAGCATGCTTTACTGCATCTACAGACTGATTGTACTGTTGGAGGTTTAGTAACACTTTAACACTTTGAGCCAATAGGATCAACCAGGTCTTAACAAGATATGTCTAACCCACCATGTCAAATTCTCATGATACAGTGGGCCAAACTGAGTGGCATAAATGTTTAAAAAGGGGCCACATTATGTCTGCTGAGGACGACATCTTGGACTTTCCACTAACATTGCTAGCATGCATCATTGAATTCCTGGCAGGTCACAGTACACATTTCTCAGAAAGACTCCACCTTTTATCATTAAAAAAAAATAACTCCCCTGGGCTTCAGCCCAGTGACTCTGTCTAGGTTGAGATGTTATCAGTCTGCTGCAGGCAGCATTTTCGCGGTCTCCTTTCCCCAAGTAATCATCCTGAAACATTGGAACTTTGTAGCAAGTCACAAGGCGAGAGGCTGCAGCAGGGGATACATGGTGTGCAATCTCTGAACCGGCATCTCAGTCCAGGAAGTAGACGTTGACTCTGGATGTTCCCTGAACAAAGATGGCCCCATCCTTTTGTGGAAAAAAGCAGATGAAGGCATAGTGACACATGCGGACCAAAGATGACTGGTCTGACATACCCACTGAGCCATACCCATGTACCAGCTCTCACCTTCCAGTGTGAAGTTGTAGCGTTTCCCCAGCAGGTACAGAGGGGACGATCTACTGAAAGTGGGCCTCATTTTCACCGTCCACCCTGCAAAAAGAGAGACAATGGGAAACCATGACAATGTGATTTCACTTGCACCCTGTCGATCAGGTTGTTACAAAGGTTGAAGATGAAATGTGACAAGCAGATGGTGTGTCATTGGGTAATGATGTATATAGTGCCTGGTTCAACTAGGAAAGGGTCCCTAATCAGATGTGAGACGGATTGGAGACAGGAGGTTGCTGCCCACTAATGAGACAATTCTCCAGTCAGTCATGGCTCCCTCCTCTGGAGACAGGTTGCTGCAGGAGCAGTGTCTGTAGGTGGACATACAAGAAGCTTGTGTCCAGGTTTGTCTGGCCTTACAGAGGGTATTCTAACCAGTCTGTGCTAAAGCAGGGTCTAAGCCAGCCATTCTCAACCAGAGTTCCTCCAGGGGTTCCTTCAGCGGAGATCGCCTTCCAATTTCATAATACCTGATAGTTCTGCGGCCAACACAACCTGGAAGAGCCAGTGGCATAATACCAATATTCTTTTGTAGCTCTCTGTACCGAGGGGCATTCTTGCCACTGGCCACAGATGCAAGAGGGCATTCTTGTCACTGGCCATCGGCGCAAGGGACATCCTTGACACTGTCCGCCAATGTAGGGAACATTCTTCCCACCGACGAGCTTCCTTTAGCAGGTGTTCAAAGGCCTAAAATTGGTTTCTAAAAGGTCCCTCTGTGGTAATAAGGTTGAGAAATGCTGGTCTAAGAAAACTATACAACCAGCAGGCTAAATAATAAAAACGACTTTGTATCATCCATGATATCGAGAACCCCGACACAGGGTAACCTTGTGTATAGGAAGTTCTGTAGATGCATTAAAGTGGGGGTCAGTAGAGAAACTCCCCTTTATGTTGGTGGTCAGCAGAGAAGGACCCCTTAACATGGTGGTTTGAGGAGAAGAACACCTTTACATTGGTGGTGGATATATAGGAAGTTCTGTAGGTGCATTAAAGTGGACGGGAGCTCTTGATTCGGAGCAAAAATCTAACAATGCTTAGCAGCTGAAGCAATGGTGGTTTAAAGACTAGCTGTCTTGGTGTCATCTACTAGAAGATCTGGACACGGATACCTATCACTCAGAAAAGGTAATATTCAGATTATAGAACACTTTGCAAACATGTAATGAACGGTCTAAATTTTTTACACATTAAATCTTCTAGAATTGAAAAAAAAAAAAAAAAAAAAAGAAGGAGAACCTCACCAGACCTATAATCTATGAATATAGAAGTATTATCATAGGACATTTAGGTAAGTGCACCCACAGCAACAGGAGGCAGGACAGACTCTCTGAACCCATTTACCACAGAGGAGCCCTAGAAATGTTCAAGTCTCAAGGAAGCCCTACTGAAAATAATTATTTGTACAGCTTATGAGGGTCAGTGGAGAAGAACCACCTTGCATTGGTGGTCAGTGGGGGGGCCTTGTGTTTACTGGTCATCAGCAGAGAAGGAACCCCTTACATTGATGGTCAAAGGTCTGCTGTACATTAATGGTCAGTGGAGAAATGCCCCCTAACATTGGTGATTAGCAGATATAGGTCCAACACACATTAATGGTCAGCAGAGAACGGCCCCTTACAGAATGGTCAACAGTGGACTCCTCACATCGGTGGTTAGTGGGGAAGGGCCCACTTTACTTGGTAGTCAGCTGAGAAGTGCCCCTGTACATTAGTGGTGAAGGCCCCCTGTAAATTGCTGCTCATTAGGAGAAGGATCTCATTATTTTGGTGATCAGTAAAGAAACACCTCCTTACGTTTGTTGTCAGCAGACAAAGGCCTCTCTTACAATAATGGCCAGCAGCCCCTTACATTAATAAGGGCCCCTTACATTAATGGACAGCATAGGGCTCCTTAAATTGGTGGTGAGTGGAGAAGGGTCCCTTTTCAAGGGAAGTGAGCAGAGAACTCCTGTACATTGCTGGTGATTGGGAGAAGGACCTCCTTATTTTGGGGGTCAGTAGAGAAACTCCTCTTTATGTTAGTGGTCAGCAGAGAAGGACCCCTTAACATGGTGGTTTGAGGAGAAGAACACCTTTACATTGGTGGTGGATGGAAAAGGACCCTCTTTTATTGTTAGTCAGTAGAGAAGGGCTTTCTACACTGTTGGTCAGTAGAAGATGTCTACCTTACATTGGTAGTCAGCATTGAAGGTCCTCCTAACATATTTTGGGATAGTTGGAATAAGAATGTCCCTTACATAAATGGTTACATTAGTGACATTTTCCTGACCCTCATTTGAACTGAACAAGAGGTTTGGAAAAAGCTACAAAACATCTTTAACATTACTGAACAAGTCCAGTTGATTATGACCAGCTAGATATGGTTACATTATGGTTGCTCCAGAGGTTACACCGAAGAAACATTTATATAACTTTTAGGAAAAGTAAATACCCGTGATCATAACACTCCAATCTTCTACTCACCGTATTTGACGTTGTTCCATGCTGTCATTAGCTTGCTTTTTAACTTGTCCACCTCATCAGTCTCACCATCTCGGGGGGATCCTTGGTAGCCCATCTTGGCCTGTTCCTGGTGACTACTCAGGTTCCTGAGGACCTCTGTCTTACGTCTACTGCTAGGACTGCCATATTGAGATGCCGCAGGGGAAACTGAATTCATTTATCCACCCTGGCTTTCTGAAGATGGAGAAAGCACAGCCAAAAGTCGCTAGGACGCGGGTCCTGCAAGAAGAAAGTGCTTGTGGTCATTTTGGTGGTGGGTAAGAATCTGGAGAACATTTCAGTGACCATATATAATTTTCTCATAACAATAAGTCGCATTCAAAAGTCAAGTCCATCCAAAAATGTTCAGGGTGAACGATGGTGGTTACATATGCCAGCTTGTCATGGGAAATCCAAGATTCCAATTCTTATCTGGATGTAGCGGGATGAAGTATCCATTACACAAAATTCCTCTGTGTAAATCACCAAAATGGAAGACTATTTATTAAAAGCAAAATGAAGGAGCGAGCGTGAGACACTTATATGTGGAGTGTAAGAATGCTAGGAGCCACAAGAAATGTGATCCTGCTACTGGAGAACCCAAGGCTTTGGGTGACAACCTGTCCATGTAAAAAGCAACACATTTATAATGCACAGTGGTGTGCTTAACAAAGGCCTGGAGTTATTGGAGTGCAATAAAAGCAGATGGTAGAGTAAGAAAAAAAAAAGAAAAAGAAAAAAGCCTGGTTATGAGGTTTGTTATAGTCACATGGCTGGTTCTCCTCCAACCATGGGGCTTTCTCTGCTCTGTTAATAAAGAAGAGCTTTGTAAGGCACCATAGGCTCCACACCATGGTCTGTATTTCATGAATGAGCCGTGAAATGCAGGCCATTGTGCGTGTCACCTAGAAGAGTAAAATAGTGATGGTACCACTCCGATATTAATCTGCCATGTAGATGGCCATCCAAGGGGCCTTCCTAATCAGAGAAAAGTGAGAGGTCTGTTGAAAGCCCAAACCCCACCATTTAGGGCTGGTTCACACAACCAGTGTTGCCGCAACTAATGCTTTACCACAGCAGGCGGTAGTGGACTGTGCATACCTTAGTGCACTGAATAGCACCTCAACGCATGTCCAAAACACCGGTGATGCAAAAGAATGCACCAGGATCTACACTTTCATGCTTTAAGGTGCGGTACAGCCTATTCATGTACAATGCGCTGTTTCTTAGCATGCACTGTGTTCAATAATGGGTTCTTTCACTTAAGTTCTCCATGCCTGATGCTTCTTCCTCTGCCATGGCCATGAGCTCAAACCTTGTATAATATATCCCTACTGGACAGTTCTGGGGCTTGCACAGGCTTATTGGCCTTCTTCCATCCCCAGTGCGAGTCGCCAGTCCTTAGCATGGCACACTGGGAATAAAGAGATCAGATCACATACCTCACCCCAATAGTCAGGTCACATGACCCCCCCCCCCCCCATAACTTTAATTTGACTGGGTATGAGTATGTGTGATGGGGGCATTTTAAGAGGCCGGGTATAAGAAGGAGGGAGTTTTTAGAAGACCAGGTATGAGCAGGTGGGGGGTGGGAACATTTTAGAAGACCAGGTATGAGCATGTGGGGTGGGGCATTTTAAAAGACCAGGTATGAGCACATGGGGTGGGGACATTTTAGAAGACCAGGTATGAGTATGCATAGTGTGGGCATTTTAGAAGACCAGGTATAAGCATGTGGGGTGGGGGCATTTTAGAAGACCAGGTATGAGCATGTGTAGTGGGGGCATTTCAGAAGACCAGGTATAAGTATGTGTAGTGGGGGCATTTTAGAAGACCAGGTATGAGCATGTGTAGTGGGGGCATTTCAGAAGACCAGGTATGAGTATGTGTAGTGGGGGCATTTCAGAAGACCAGGTATAAGTATGTGTAGTGGGGGCATTTTAGAAGACCAGGTATGAGTATGTGTAGTGGGGGTATTTCAGAAGACCAGGTATGAGTATGTGTAGTGGGGGCATTTCAGAAGACCAGGTATGATTATGTGTAGTGGGGGCATTTCAGAAGACCAGGTATGAGTATGTGTAGTGGGGGCATTTCAGAAGACCAGATATGAGCATGTGTAGTGGGGGCATTTTAGAAGACCGGGTATGAGTATGTGTAGTGGGGGCATTTTAGAAGACCAGGTATGAGCATGTGTAGTGGGGGCATTTTAGAAGACCGGGTATGAGCATGTCGGGTGGGGTCATTTTAGAAGACCATGTATGAGCATGTTGGGTGGGGTCATTTCAAGAGACTGTGTATGAATGTTTGTGGAAGAAAGGAAGCTGTTATTTTCCCTGAATGGGGCCATTCATACACTACAATCCTGTGCAGGTAGGAGCATTGTCCATTGTGCAATACAAGAGAGGAAACAGTTTTCCAACCCAACAAAATAACATTAGTCATGGCCAAAGTATTCAGAAAAGGTCTAAATTTGCTGCAGTCCCAAGTAGAACATCCACAACTCCCGATCTGTGCAGTAGAGAGTGGAGTGGCATCCACCAAACCGCCGAGCTCTGAATCTCTCCTCAGAGACAAAGGTCACGTGGCGCATAGACTGTCCCCATACCGACCAATCAGCTATGCTTTCACATCTGAAACTGACCCTGTCACCTAAAGCTCTCCTCCGGGATCCAGACTTCATGGCCCACCATTGTCCTTCTCCCGGTTTACATTTGATATACAGAATTATTTCCAAGCTGGCCGTGACAGCTTTGAATAGTGCATGACAATCCTACTGTATCAGGATGCCAGGAGCAGGGTGTGCGATCTCTCAGAGATCTACATTGGGGGTATGGAGGGGACCGGTTACCATGCTGTACATAGAGGTGGACCCAGTGTTTGGACAGGAAAGGCTGGATTCGCACTGCAGCTGAAAAGGGATCCATGGTGGGTCTCGTGTCGCAACCACAAGCCAGGAGCTTGGCTTGTGGTTGTGGCATGGCCCCATTGGCTTGAATGGGCGAGAGTCACGGGTGCGGTCATCTGCCAACTTGACAAACGACAATAACATCAAGGCTTTGGTATGGGTACAGAGCCCAAGAATTACTGGAACCGATCCCCTGTATGACTCTCTCTGCAGCAGCTGAAAGCCAACGGGAGGGAGAGGCCTTCAGCTGCTGGATGAATCAGATGTGGGCAGGGAGACTGATCGGCACAGTGGGGGGGGGGGGGGGGGGGGGGGGGGGGATTACAGGAATCAATCAATGGCTGTCTCTGCAGCAGCTGAATGCCTCTTCTCTCCCATCTGCTGGCTTCCAGCTGCTGCAGAGAGAGTCATACAGGGGATCAGTTCCAGTAATTGCCTCCCCCCGCTGTTCCGGTCACTCTCCCTGCCCACATCTGATTCACCCCCCTGCTGGCTTTGGCCCATACAGGAGGACTGATGGTACCCCCTTATCCACAGCCCTGTTCGCAGGGGATAAGTCGATGGGATGACTACAAGTCCCATCGGCCCCCGCAGCACAGGAACTCACAGAGCACCTCACACATCACCACAACCCATGACCCAACGTGCTCCAGCTCCAGAACAGAAGGTCCCTGCCCCCATAAAGACCTGGAGCTGGGGGTTATACAACGCAGGAGCCTGTGCATTGCACTCAAGATTGCGGTTGCGATGCTCTGCTGTCCTCAATGCAAAAATTGTAGTGACTGCACTTTTTTATTTTAAATATGGCGGATGTATTATTACATTTTTGCAAAAGGTAGACAACGCTTTTCCTTGGAGGGCAAAGAAGACAATTGTTAGCACACAGTTGCTGGGAGAAGGGCCCCCGGCACACAGGTCCATTTAGCTGCAGTGCACCCAGGGTGGCATAGGTGCTGCAGGTCGCCTGGCATAGTCTATGGCAGGCTGCAGTTGTATGGGGCTGAACGCCGGCTGACTGGGACTGGCATTCATGGATGAAGGTCCATAAGGCAGGTCTTCTAAAATAGACTATGGCCGGGTGCCTACACAGGGTCTGCATGCTGCACCTCTCCCTCCTGGGGGCACCAGGGGGGCCTTAAAACAGAAAGTAGCTCTGAGCATCGCCTGGGTGTGGGGGGCAGTAGGCCCCCCTTGCTGGGTGCTGTGGTTCATCACACCCTTGCATCACCATAGAGCGTAGTAGTGATCCAGTGGGATTGCCTATATAGGGTAAAGTGACAGGTTCTCTTGAAAGGAGTCCCCCCCCCAACCCAATATGGCTGCCACCTATTATGATCCTATTCAGCCAGGGTCAGCCCTTCCCCCAGCTGATACCTTCACCATGCTCCCCTCCCTGCACCTCTCTCTGGATCACTAGTACATATCAGGTGTAAATGTGACCCCCCCCCCACTCTCTGCCTTACCCCCAGGACTGAGCGGCCAATCACCAGGCTCCATATTGTCACCTGAGGTAGGGAGCTATCAAAGTCTTCCTATTAGATTGTAATGTATTGCAGCCTATCTGTCCTTAGATGTGGCGGCTGCATTCGTTTTCTTTTCCTTTATTGTCACCTGGTGATCCTGCCAGTAACATGCATCCTGTCCCAGAATGACAACACTCACTATAATGGGGGAGCAACACTGGAAGGACTACAGGACACCTCCCCCTCTCCATAACATGGAGATGTTTTGCAGTCCTTGGAGAGAGCCAGAGACAGTGTATCCCGTCAGAGAGCCAGGGACAACATTTCCGTTGCGGAGCCAGGGACAACATATCAAGTCTGAAATAGGACAAACATCCATCCAGTTCAACCATAAAAAAAAAAAAAAAAAAAACACAGTTATAATCCTCCACCCACAGTTGATCCAGATGAAGGCAAAAAAACCCAGCAAAGCACGATCCAATCTGCTCCTACTGGGAAATAATTCCTTCCTGATCCCCCGAGAGGCAATCAGATATTCCCTGGATCAACTTTCCCTATAAATGTTATATCCAGTTATATTCTGTGTATCCAAGAAAGAATCCAGGACTTTCCTACAGCAATCCACTGAGCTGGCCACAACCAACTCTGGAGGGAGTCTATTCCACATTCTCACAGCTCTCACTGTGAAGAAACCTTTCCGTATTTGGAGATTACATTTCTTTTCCTCCAGATGTAAAGAGCACCCCCTTGTCCTCTGTGATGACCTCAGGGGGAATAACTACACCGAGTTCACTATATGTACCACTGATG